AAAAAAAAAAAAAAAAAAAAAAAAAAAAAAAAAAAAAAAAAAAAAAAAATCGAAGATTTCTGAAGGTGTAGTGTTAGTTCAATCCACGACTCCAACTGCAAAAACAATAGTCCTGTCGTCCTACATATACTCCATTTACAGTCCAATGCCTGATTTATGATTTATGATATCACACATTTATCAAAAAACGAGAATATTTGATGTAATATTTATATAAGCTTGAGATATTTCATTAATTAATTACATTCAATGTCATAGAATTTTAGTTTTCTAATCTGTAAAGTTGACTTAGAAATGTTGATCTATCGTTGACAATGGCAGTAGCTCTATTCTATAAGAGCACTTTTCTTATCCTAAAGATGGCTTTTAGCGAGCTTTATTGACTTTGTTTCTAGTTTGGCGTCCCTATTTCGAATGAACCATTTACTTAAACGCTTTTAAATTAGTACTGAAATTATGAACTAGTATGAAAATACGGACAGACTAAATGAAGATACGAGTATTTTAAATGTCAAGAACGGCGATTCTATATAGACCTTTTTTCAACATTTCAAAATAAAACTTCAAGCATTGTCCATAATTTTAATCTAGGATAAGGCTAAGGGTGTAAAGTATAGGATATAGTAATGTCAGCGTTATCTCTTCATCGTTTTCCGGCCACTGATTTTTAGCTTTCCATTTTGTACAATAACGCTTCTAGGTAAAATGAAATAACTGCGTGATGTCTTCCCACCAATTTAAAAGCATGTTGGCCAGAAATGTTCTCAACAGATGAAGATCACCTATGGAGTCCCTCAAGGGTCGGTCTTGGGTCCGACTCTATTTAATATACAAAATAATGGGATTTCCGACGCCTGTAAAAACAGTTATGTAATGCAACTTGCTGACGATATGGAGATATATTCTTGCTCGAAAGACGTTAATATAGCCGAAGAAAAGGTTAATCAAGACCTTCTCGTATTGATATTTGGCTTAAGCGAAACAGTCTTATTAGTAATCACAAGAGGTCTGAGGCAATGCTAATAGACCTTTCGTGAATTCGCTTGAGTAACCACGAAACAATGGTTTCAAGTCGAGGTTAGACTTCATTTGTTTATACATTCACTGTATTTTACCAAGTCCAAYCTCGACATGGAACCATTATTTCGTGGTCATTCATCATGCGCATGCATTCGGGAAAGGTCTTACTATTGAATCAATCCGTATCTAATACACATACGTTATACACCTATTTCAATAAACGTTTTCATCACCAAAGGCAATAGGCAATAGGTGACAGGCGAAAGGAGATAGGTCACTCCAAGATCCAAGAATAGCTGGAATGACTTGTGTTTTTGCTCCTTATTCTCATCAAGAACATGGACTTTAGTGTTGAGACTGATTCAATGTTCTTTGCATTCAACGAAACCATTTCCTTGTCGGAATGACCTATCGCCTATTGCCTTTGGCGATGACAACGCGTTTTTGGAATAGGTGTATATCTTCCAGGCATGATACAATAAAATAGACTTTATTAGGTTACCCGAGGGGACCTTCATAACTATAAAACTATAAAAAGAGTATCAAAAATTACAATAAAATTGAAATAGAAAGATAATGAACTTCCACTGTTATCGAATATCTAATGCCTAACAATAATAATAAGGACGAACTATTATAAGATACTACAATTATAAATAATGAATAAAAGAAAAAAGAAATAAATCTGCAAAGTATTAAAACTAATTACTTAGCCAGTTGCGCAACAACACTGTTTTAAGATTACGATTAAAGGACGATACAGAAGGACAGTTATGTAGCTCATCAGAAAGAGAATTCTAGATGATAACGCCACGATAGACAAACGATTGTTGCTCTAAAACTGTCCGGCACCGTTAGCAAGATAGAGACTGTCTCTATTTCTAGTGTTGTATCTATGAATCTGTGACCTCTTAGAGAATAACTCAGTTAAATACGCTTTGAAGGCACTTTATAGTTCACCTTATATTAACGCTTCGCCATCTCGAACAGAAACGAGACATAAGTCTTATTGATAACGCTTTATGTTCACTTCAGCTATATGGACTTTTTGTTGAGCCCGCAGTCAACAGTTATTTCCTTTTTCAAGTCATGTGAGCGAGTCTATAGGTTTAATAAATGCAAAAGCAGTAACATGGCTGTCAGCTTCTCCTTATGGTCAGTAACATTACTGTCAGCTTCTCCTTATGGTCAGTAACATGACTGTCAGCTTCTCCTTATGGTCAGTAACATG